TACGGCAGCCAGGATTGTGTTTGAACAAAATTGGAAAGCACTGAAAGCCCCCCCAGAGGGAGAGGTGATTGGAAAAATACTGGAATGTGCAGAAATGAATAGACTAACAATGACAATTAAAGATAAGACAGAGTCAGACTACTATGAAATTTGGGGAACTTTTTATGATTGGCTGAAAAGAGAATACAGTTAAAAGATAGTTAACATCAATTTAGATGGAAGAAGAAGGAGCAGATAAGGAGGGAGACCCAGGCGACACAGTATTGAATAACTGGAGGTTGTATAAATGTTTATAGAAGTATATACCGAGAAGGTTAGATAAATAGAAGTATTAATCTTATTGTATATAATACAGATAGGGAAATTTGGAGAGAGGAGGTGCTCGGACATTACCCCTGAATTGTATCTGAAGAGGGATGAGAGGGAAGAAAGGAGAGGAGAGAGAAAAGAGTAAAGGAGGGGAGAAGGAAGTAGGAAGGTTGGAGGAAGAGGAAAGGGGAGGAGAGTGGTGAAGGAGAGGAGAGGAAGAAGAGGGAAGTAGGGAAGAGAAGAAAGGGAGAAAGAAGGTAAAGAAGAAGTGTGGATACGGTGAAAGGGGAAATGGGCGAGCAACACCAAAGTTATGTGTATGTATTTATTTCATTTTGTTAAAAGTATCTGTATGTGAGTGTGGAGGGAATGTATGTTAATATCTGATAAATATTACAGTATATATATGGGGGAGAGTTTGGAAAAATAAAAAATTATTAAAATATAACCTGTGGGTTGGCTTTTTACTCATACTGTCGCAAAATATAGCAATGTAGTTTACTGTTGTTATATTAAGACTGTTACCCATACTACACCATGCTTCAAGACAAAATTTCATTTATTTGTAATTAGAAATAAATATTTCACAATATATAATTACATATTGTTTTTGTGATTAATCACTATGCTTTAATTATGTTCAATTTGTAACAATGAAAATACATCCTACATATCAGATATTTACATTACGATTCATAACAGTAGCAAAATTAGTTATGAAGTAGCAACGAAAATAATTTTATGGTTGGGGGTCACAACATGAGGAACTGTATTAAAGGGTCGCGGCATTAGGAAGGTTGAGAACCACTGCACTAGAAGGCCTTCCTTAGGAACATAATATAGGGTATGGAGAGACTAGATAAAACATTTTCTAGAATCAACTTGAATTAACTTCAGATGGTTGGGTTCATATGTTGCACTAGTCTATGGTTTGTTTAAATACAGCATAGTTGATAGAATTAATCAGAATTAGCTGAGTTTTCTACAATATGTAACATCACAAGCTACACTTTACAAATTATAATAGTTGAGACTGGGTGGCTTTGGGTGAATGTAGCTCTGGATTCTGGGATTTTTAACATGTTTAGTTAATGGGATGGGATTGCACTATCCCAAATTGACCTGATGCACAATCTGGATGTTCTCTTACACTCGTGACTCTTGCTCAATAAGCAGGTGGCAGTCGTTGACTAGGAGTGCCTTTGTACAACCTGTGTACCAGTTGCACCCTTTCCTGGATCAGCACTCTTTCCACTCAGGAACTGAGTGTAATCTCACTAGTGCAACATAATTTTGAAGAGTATCCAGAAGTTTCAGCTGGTGCAGAATGTAGCTGCATGGGCAGTTCTTGGTGCATCTAGACTGGCCCATGTTACATTGCTGTTCCAAACCCTGCACTGATTTCCAGTTTACTTCCAGGTCCAATTCAAGCTGTTGGTTATCATCTTTAAAGCCCTATAGGTCCAAAGTATCTGAGAAACCAACTCATCCTGATGGGATTGGCCCCTTCCACCCATGCCAACAGAAGAGGCTTGGTGCATGTCTATCAAGGAATTCAATCAAGGGCTGTTGAAGCCCAAAAGAGCCTTTTTGGCCATGGCACCCATCCTCTGGAACATCCTCTCTCAGCCAGATCCACATCCAACCTTCTGGCCTTCCAACAGGGCTTGAAGATCTGGCTCTCTAGCAGGCCTGAGGCTCTAATAAAGGACTGGCATCTTGGATATGATTAATGGATTAGATAAACTCAAGTCCCTCCTCATGTGCATTTTGCTCATTTCCTTCCATCTTGATTAATTAAATTTTAACTGAATTTTAAATGTGTAGTTTTATTTATTGTTTTAAAGTTTTATGTCATAAATATATGACTGAACGCTGCCTAGAATCACTTCAGCGAGATGAATGGATTAATGGTGTAGTAATAAACAAACAAATAAATAAAGCTCCCAAACATGCTATTTTATCACACCTGGGAAAATTTAATCATTTATTATTTGAAAGCATAGTTTCAATAATATAAAGCTAATTTATATAAATATGGTATTATAAAAGAAAGTTTAGCTGCATCATACAAACTCCTCAAACTTAGCAATCACTGTCTGTATTACTTAAGTCTATTCAAGTGGGAATCGAATATAAATATTTTAAATAGCATAACTTTAAGGAACATACCTTTTATTTTAGCATTATGATTAATTTGCAGCTGTCTGCTGAATAGAAAATTATTTTTTCTACACATTCTTACAGGGAATGGATAGCATTGGTGGTTCTTGTGAATGAACTTGGATAGAGATAGTATGTCCCTCATCTTTTAGATCTTTCAGTGGCCTTTGAAATGATCTGACCGGTATCTTTTTGAACAGGCATTGCCAATTAAGGACACTGTTTTGTGGTTAATTCCCAGTAGTGTAGGCACAGATGGACAGATTAGTCAGGCAGTGATTCCATTAAGCTATGCCAGAGTTTGGTACACTTCTGCTGCTCTTTAACCTATACATGAAAGTGCTGGGAGAGATCATCTGTTGGTTGCTGATGATACCTAGTTGCACGCTGCCAGCTTCAATTAGATGGGAAATGCTATCGATATCTAATATCAGTGTCTGGAGGCTGTCAGGATCTGGATATGAAACAAACTGAGGTTGAATCCCTGCAAGACAATTTCTGTTTGTTCACATGGGTTATTTTAAGTGCTCTGGTTTCATCTTTGATGGGGCAGCATCCTGGACATCCTGGACTCATAGCTATTTCTGGACAGATGGAGAGTCTTTACCAAACTCTAGTTGGTCACCAGTTACCACCCTAATAGAATGAGATCTTCTTTCAACAGTAACTCATGCGCTAATCATATTTATTTGGACCACTTATAATAGGGGTTTCTAAACTTTTTAAATTCCCTTTAGGGTAATCCTAATGTACACAACTCTCCTAAAACTCCAAACATCAAAACAAACATATCACTTAGAACTATATTTTGGGAAGATGGATTTATTGTAACAATGCACAATTAAAAGGTTCTTACACATCCTCTGGACTCTGCCTGTGTCTCTCCAAGAGAAGTACATTTTTACAGTTTGGGAAATTCTGTCTTTGAAGTTTCAGATAATCAAGAACACAGAAACCTGGACATTATCTGGAGTTTGTCAACATGGGCATATTGCACCTATGCTCTGGCCTATGCATTGGCTACCTTTTAGGCTCAGGGTTCAATTTAAAATCCTGCTTGTAACCTTTAGGGCCCCATGTAGTTTTGACACCAAGGTACTTGAAGGTCCTCAACTAAGTAAAACTGATTCGTCTGACCATATCCCAGGAGAAACTTGTTGATGAATCCCTGTTTCTACAAGATTAGGAGTTCAGTGATATATGCAGTTGATAATTAATAAGTAACGGAAATCTTGCAATGAGTGGGATGAAATAACTTTTGCTTCTTTATTATTCCCCTCCTTTCTTTCTACATACAGTAACTGATCTAGATCCCATAAGTCTTGCACTATGTCCTATTCACGAATTATGTATTTGTACTCTTGCTATATAAAAATATGTGAAAACTACATATACATATTGTATACGTATACATATCTTGAGTTACTTGTAAAATAGTAATAGTGAAATACAAATAAATATGCATTTGATATTACAGTATTCCCTATGCCTGTACTGCCATGTTTATTTAGATCACTGGTTCTCAACCTTTTTAATGCCGCGAGCCCCCAATCGGTCGTAAGTCGAGGACTACCCAACCAGTCGTAAGTTGAGGACTACCCAACCGGTCGTAAGTCAAGGACTTTCCCTGCCCAGGAGCGCCGCGCACGCGTGGTGCTGCCCCCTGCGCCAGCCAAGGCATAGCTGGCAAGTGGCAGAGACGGCGCAGGCTGACCACCGGCTGGGCCACCAGCTGGCCCAGCTCAAGGGAGGTAAGGCACCCGCCGGGCCCCCTGCATGCCAGCAACCCTCCCTGCGCCCGTCGGCCTCCCACCTCCCCCCCTGGCCCTCTTTTACTTACATTTTTAGTAGTTGCTCAGCAGGGAGGGGTGGAAACTTCAAGACAGCTCGCCTTCGCTGCAGACAACTTGCAGCACCGTTTGCAGAATGGGACTTTTGGTGGGCTCAGCAGGGCAGAGACAGCCTGGACAATTCCTATTGGCTTTTGAAAGCCAAAAGAATTAGACTCCATTCAAGAGAGTCTATTCTATTGGCTTTCAAAAGCCAATAGAATAAAAGGGAGTAGCACAGCTAAGGAAAAGGGGAAAAAATGGCGGACTGTGTTGTTTGGCGACCCCTGTGAAATGGTCATTCGATCCCAAATGGGATCGCGACCCACAGGTTGAGAACCACTGGTTTAGATTATTGTACATTTAATTAGGAGTAACAATATCTCATGCAGACTTGAACAGTTTTTGAGGTACAGTTCTGACAGAGTTCTACACTATTAGAAAATAACTTTCCCTGAATGAAGTGGCACTTCAAGTCTGAGTAATCATACATCAAATACAATATCCTTGATCTAGTTCACTTTTCTTTTTTTTAATTTTAATATTATACCATTCTGCCCATACAATACTTCTCATAAGCCTTTCTGGACTCTAGGTGGAAGGAAACAGTGGGAATGACTCAATCAGTTTTAGCAAAAATGCCTTTTACTTCTTCCAGCACATAGGGGCAATATAGAGCCTCTCTAGGAAGCAACATACTTTCCTGTCCTTTGGCTTTAGAACTGCTGCAGTCTCTCTCTCTCTCTCCACTCTCTGCAGCATTGTGAGATTTAACACTCCTACAAAAAAGAAAAGGCACCGAACAGGAAATCTGGGAAAGCTGGTAAGGAATTTCTATCAGTTTCTAAAATGAGAATGGAAAAAAAAGCAGGATTACTTCAACAAGAATCATTATCTGCTGCATGTTTTTATGTAAAGGTTGCAGACTTGGATAATTACCTGATAGTCTGATGGTAAGAGACACCTCCCCTTTATCTGCCCTCAAGAGTGCTTTTGTGTAGTTAATTAATGCAAACTTTCATGCAAGAAGGAAGTAATTATAACTGTATTCCCTTTTAATGATGGAGAAATATGCAACCTCTTCCTTTCCAGGGAGATTCAATCACCGCTGCCATAATGTAGTTGGCAAAATCCCCACATTCTAAAACAGTAACACTAGTTCTGAATGTAAAAGCCTATAAAGACAATAAATTAATGTGACAGAGTTGAGGGAATGACACTGCAATTGTGGAGATATTTTTCTAAAAATCACCTTAGTCATCGGGAAAAAAATAAATTATAAAAAAAATACATATTGGAGAAGGAAAATATATGTATAAATACACTGTACTTGAAGATGATGTGGGTGTGCCTGATTGGGAGAAAGGCAGTTTGAAAGAAATGGAAAGCATCTTAAGTGTGTACATGCTGAAAAACTTGGGAAATAGAAGCTGTGTGTCTCAAAATATAGAGAAAAAAAAGCTCTTATGATATACTGAGAAATGTGGAACTTTAAACACAAATTTATAATTATGTCACAAAACTATACATATTTACTTGGAAGTAATTCCCATTCAGATAAGCATAACTTACTATTAGATACTGTATATACTGGTCATCAAAGTTGCATTGAAATAAGTGGAAATTTCTGCTGAATAACATGAGTATAATTAGGTTCTACAGCATAGGTGTAGTTTTTTAAGGCTACAGTCCTTTGCACTGAATGCATGGGAGTAACCCTTACTTTTGAGTAAACACCTTTGGCGTGGCTTGAATAGATGAAGCAGGTGATTGCAGATATGAGGATTGGCTAATCTGAAGGAAGCTTGATTTTTGAAAGCAGGGACTGTTATATTTAAGCAGTGAAAAGTTAATATGAACTCAAACTGATTTTTCAAGCCACATACTTAAGTTGCCCTTTTGAAACCTATTTGTTGAAATTACTTAACGGATATTGAGAAGACTAAGATTATGCATAGTACTTGATTAGAAAAAAGTGATTTTAATACACATTTGGATAGTTGACTATCAAAGGAAAGCAACATTAGTTATTGAACTAAACAGCACTGAGACATGACTGCGGAAAGAAAAAGGGAATCGAACAGAGGCGGAGAGCTGCGTGGTGAATATTAAGAGTTCTTAAGATACTTACCGGGACTAAACGGAAAAATCCATTTTATGGATTCCTTTGCTTTGGAATGGGATTTTTTGCAGGCACGGTGCTCGCCTGCTGGACTGGGGCAGGATGTAATGCACGCTGGCAAATTTCGGAGTGCACGCTAGGCAGTGCAATGCAAAAAAAAAGAAAAAAGAACCAAACTGCATGTGTGAACCCGCCATTACTCTAGCCATTTTGTTATAGTCGAAATCAGATCAGCGGAGCGAGAACATGGACCGCCAGGGCCACGTGTGGTTGAACGATCGAAAGCATACGGCCGTTTTTTTTAACGCGCGTTCTGCCTCTGGAGGGTTAACATTCGGCGTAGAGATGCCCGATCTGCGACAGCCACCCCGCGTTAAAGATGTGCGAACATATTTTCCCTGCCCCTGGTCGATGTAGCTGAAGACCAGAGAGTATTTGGCGAAAGAGGGCGTGGAACTGGGCTCCACATAACTGGCGAAATGAGCGAATAAGGGACGCGGCGGGGAAAAGCAAGGCGTTCTGCTGGCCGGCGCGCCCAAAGAGGACCACCCTCCGGTTCACTGGTCGGAGAGTCTCCGCCTTCAGGCGTCGTCCGTAGCTGCGGGGAGATAAAGAAGCCTCCGCTCTGGGCCGCTTCCCTCCTCCGGCTGCGGAGCGGGAGAATGTCTTGAAGCCCCAAACCTTTCATCTCCCTGGCGGGCTGCACCTTCCCCAGGTCGTCCCGCCCCACCCCTTGGAGAAAGAAGGCCGAGTCTGCAACGAGGACTCCAGGTCGGGAACCGGTGTGGGCGGAAGGAGCGCTGCCACTCAGTCCGGCCTGCGAGCCCCTTCCTGCCAGCCACTGAACGGCCCACTCCGCCCCCTCGTGGCTTTGGCCAGGCCCGGCCCTCCTCCGTAGGAGGTGCTGCTCCCCGGCGAACCAGCCAGAGCGGCAGAGGCAGCAAGAGGGAAACACGAAGCAGCCTCTGCACCCCTTTCAGCCGAGGGAAGAAGAGATAGGTGAGGCCTTCGGAGCAGGGCAGGGGGTGGGACTGGCTTGGTTTGGGTTCTGCCGCCGTGGTTCTCGCCAGCAACCCGAAGGAGGATTGAACGTGGCGGTACTGTTCTGCTCTTGCTGGCTGTTTATTTTTGCACTGCGTTTTGTTTGGTTTTTGGAGGGAAGGGTATCTTAAGGGTGGGACAGGTTCTCGGAAGCCATCGAAATGGCTTTGGCAAAAAGAAAAAGAAAAAAGATGAGGCTAGCAAATAATGCAAGGCAGAGAGAGTCAGGAATGTGGGTATACTAAAACGAATGCAGGAGTTTCCATGGCAAAGAGTGGGAGCTTCTGGGAGGCTTATTTGCAAATAAAAAGAGCCGAATATACACCGGACTAGTTAAATGAGTATTCCTTCCTGAATATGGTCGTTTTTTTTTTAAAGGATGGGAGAGGACGGGGCAGTTAATCAATCATCGGCAGAGGAAGAGCCATTTGCTTAACTCACTTTAAAGTCACCTTTGCTTAGGTTTTGCTACGAAGTTTGTCACATACTAAGATGGTGTAACTAAGTAGAGACTCTTCTGATCCATGGCTATTCTTAATACAGTTTTGCAGACCTTCGGAGAGTTCAATTTTAGGTCCTTTCTCTTCAGTAATTATATGAAAGAACACGCAGGCTTTTAAGATTGGGGTTGCTATTTAGATTTGGGGATATTGCTACTGCTGCCTTGAAAATTGTAATTTAGGCTTTATGTGCTAATTACACTTGGAGTCACCTTCATAAAGTCTTATTTTGTAACTGGACTACAATGTTTCATTTAGTGTGGCTGCCAATGTAGCCAATACAAATTAGTGTTCTGTCTTATAAATAAATGGCACTGGATTATTCACTGTGGTCCATATGCACCAAAATCTCAGTATCTTCTATGTTTACCTTGTGAGGTGGATTTTTGTGTTGATATTCTTTTGCCTGCTGCAGGAAACTCTGGAATACAGTGGCAATTGATGCTTTACTTATTTGTACAGAATGCACTGTTCATGCTTTTAGTTTTGTAGGATCTGTCCTGCACTTTTGTTTCTGGATTATACTGTTAAATAATGGAAGATAGGATGCTAGGTAATGTTCATGTTTCATGTCTATGGAATGTATAATTGGCCAACATACCTCTGCACATATATGCCTGAGGTGCTGAAGTCGTTTTTTAGGAAAGCAGAGATAAATCCACTAATTGCTAAGTGGAAGCTAGCCCATTTTTGTACCAATTATTTGTAGCCTTGTCCTACCCTCTTTCTTTGAAAGTAGGCCCAGTTATATCTAATGGAGTATTCACATAAACATAGCATTCTATACAACAGATCTATCAATGTAACTTGATAGATTTTACAGTTCTTCTGATTACAAATGTTATTGCACATCTACATTTTTTGTAAGTAATATAAGTTAAATGTTCTGTATTGGAACACAATAGTGTGAAAATGCTTTATAAATTCTCAATTTACTTTTTCTAGATTTCAGTGTTTGAATAATACACATTTCCTTTTTAACATGTACTGTCCATTTGCTAGCATGTTACATTGGGTGAAATTTTATAAGAGGCTGTCTTTTGTGACTTTTCAGAAATATTCAGCTTTTTATATATGCCTAAGCTTGTAAGGTATTTAAAGAAATGTTTGTTTTTTGCAAGAAAGAGTGTCTGGCTTTCATTTATTTTCTTCTTGTCTCCTAAAAAGATATTTCTCAGTATTGGGGAAATAAAAAATAAGATTGATAAGATAACTATTATTGTAATTTTTTTACTGTGAGCACACTGGTACACATTAAAATGAAATTCTGTTGCCTGTTCTCAAGAAAGTTCTGGAATACAGTGTAATATTGCATACAGAGTTGAAAATAAATATAGGGGATTACTTTACATGATAAAAGAGCATTTTACTTTGCAAAACTAACACCAGATAAAGCTCATTTCTATTATGTTTTGTTGAAGATTGTAATTAAAAGTCATTGTTTCAAAGAACCAAAACTCCTTAGTTTCTTTTCAGTATTTAATAAAGTGTTATCCAAGTTAAAGCTACAGACTTATGCAGTACTTTTCATATATTTCATCTTGCAAAGTATTTGAAATAATACTTTCTGCAATCTTAGGCAAAAACAAAAGCTTAATCATTATTAAATTGATAATAATAGTAAGAAAGTATCAATGTCCATATCATATTTCAATGTTATAAAAATATTGTCAAGTAATGTAGCTTTACCACTTAACATGAAAATATAAAACAGAATGTACTTGGCTAATGGTTGTTTTAGGCCTCTAAGATCATTCATTATTAAGGCCTGCAATATAGTGATGTGCTGTACATACAGTATACATCTTAACTGTGATTTATTCTGTTTGCAAATGCTGTCTTTTGGACCATGATATCATGATATACATTATTGCTATTGTCTTTTAACAAGCGGGATATACTTAAACAGTAATTCAGAAATTATAATTGTCCTAGGACTAGGTCAAATATGTCTGTAGGTTGAAAGATTCTCTCTCTCTCTCCCTCTCCCTCTCCCTCTCTCTCTCTCTCTCTCAGAGAGAGAGAGGTGCTATGGAAAACAAAGTTTTTTCCAGAAAAAGTGTTGTGTGAACATTTTTGGTTTTCTCTATTGTAGAGAAATGAATTAAGTTTAAAACACATAGTTTTAAAAAACCCAAATTTTTCAGAAGCTAAAGTCTTCAGAAGTCTATAAATCACATTCCTTTATTTTCTTTATTATCTACATTTTGATAACTTATGCTTCTAATTAAGAAAATAAACACTGCCTAGCTGAAAACATTTTATCTAAAGAGAAATCAAGTATGTTGGATTTAAATATGAGATGTTTAGCTTACATTTAATTCCATTGCTTGCCCTATTTGGTGTACAAGAGAAATAGATAGTTTTTGTTAGCTTGTTGGTTTTAAAATCAGGATGGATGATTATTAATAATAAATGTTTTTTAAAAAACAGATGTCAGTACATTTTCAGAAAAGTAACAGATAAAAACTTTAATGTGATATCTAAAATCATGGAGTTATATTGCTATTGTTTTTTTGTAAAAATTGACTTGCTTCCTTAAGAACAAACGGTACTGTAATATTTCTCTAGAAATAGATTAGAAATGGGGATTATAGAGAATTGTTGAGAAAACTTTTTTGGATTCCTTCATAACAGTGTCTTCCCTATGTTTTAGTGGTTGGAAATATTAATATATCTCTATCACATTAGAATAGTTTTGGGAACCCTTGGAATGAATGGCATAGTGTCCCAAAAGTAATACTATATGTGCATTGGATTACAACACATTTATCATAGTATGAAGGACTTGTTTCTAAAGAAAACATTCATATCTATCATGCATTTGGGTTTTCCATCATGACATGGAATCTTGCCAGTGATAGCACGTCTTCACATAAGTATTTTTTATAGCTTAAACTGCTGTTTTAAACTGCTTTTAAAAAGAATCAGTGATTGTCATAGTTTTTGCTGCCAGTTTTTGTACTGTGGTGAATCCGAATTCTTTTATTTAGGTTGCAGATGCAATCCTGCAGATGTTCAAACCCATGACATTGGCTGCCGGCCAGAATATGACATTCATCTTTTCTCTGCAGGTGTCTACTATTGTTTGATGGAAACTGGGAGGGAATGAATCGTTCTGTGATTGTTCTGTTCCTGACAGGTTTCTCACTAGTATTTATTACTTCACTAGTATAAGAAAAAATAACAGTTAATCAGCTGAGCAGGCATAAGAGGCAGGATGTGTAATGTATACTGTCTCTTTGAACTTATGAAGATAGCTAAAGCTATATTTCATGGATTATGTATTTTTCATGATGTTGAGAATCTTACCTGTAATGTAATGCCTGAAATATATTTCAGCTTTAGGTATTGGTTAATCTTTATAAAATTCTAAATATTCAGATATAAAATGTAAAACTTGAAACATCTTTAGACTTAAAGATGTATTATGTGTTAGCATGGTACAGAATTCAAATGTCAAGGTCTTGATCTTTTTAGAAATCTTCATAAATAATACTGTGCTAGTTTAACCTGTTATTGTTTGCAAGTGGATAGTTTCTTTAGATTCTGCTATGCTTCATGCCGCACATGACTTCTCACATTTTTTATAAAAATGAGTAACGGGGAAGTAATATATTGGCATACAACTTCTCATTGTATCTTCCCCCGCCAGTATTCTTACTTTAATATTTGCTCCCAGGCCAAACCATATTCCATATTCTCATATCTTTTCCTAAACATATCCCATCATACCAATCAACAGTTAATACTATATAACCAGCAAAAAAATCAGTGGTTCCTCCGGTAGAGTACAAGTTTTTTTCAGAGTTCATTCATGAAGAGAAATGGGACAAAATAATTACTTTATAGCAAGGTAACATGAAGTTTATCAGGGCATAGATTACTTCATGCAGGCTATATTTATCCAAGAAAAATGGAAGATGATGAGCAGCACTTCAAACTCAGCAGATCATGAGAAGGATGTACACTTTTTTAATCTGAAGGAAGAAAAGTGCCTTGGCTTGTGCGTGGGTGAGTGAATTGCTAATCAGTGGCTGTTAGAGAAACTGCATTTTTCCTGTGCTCTCCCAGTAGCTACATGGTCCCTGGAAAATATGTTCATCAGTTAAAGAAGTGTTGACAGCATTGCTAAGCTGTACACTTGCTTTGATGCAGTTGTGGCCCTATGCAGAACAGGTTATGTATCTGCTTCTCAGACTTGGGAACTGGGCAGTCACAATGTCTCAATCTCACTAGACAGTATGCAGTTGATTTTGCTGTGGATAGCCAGTCTTTATCAAGTCCTTAAACTACATATAGCATAGTGATGAATGATCTCAAGATAAGGAGTAAGGGAAAAACTTTTACTACTAATTTCTTCCACTAATAATTCACTCATAACTATCTTAAATAATTTACTTTATTATTACAGAGGAGGAGAAGGATACATGAAAAGTACTATTTTTATATAATATG